CAGGAGGCCTACTACATAGATTTCTATCTTTATCTAAGCTCAACTGATGGCTTCTGTTTGTCTTAGTCCTAGAAAAGACTCCCAATTTATCAGAGGACAGTGATGCCTTCTGACTCTTCTGTGGAGAGGGAAGTGAGAAATAACAGCTATCGTAGTTAGAGTTAAAAAGCCAAGTGTGACTATAAAAGTTAAAATACAAAGGCAGCTTCATAAATAAGAAAGGGAAGAGTCAAGATTCTAAGACCCTAAAACAACATCCCAAACACAACTGTTGTTCAATTACTTTACTCAGCTTCCTGGGCTTCTGTCAACTCACAATCCAACTTGTGGTTAACAGCTCTGCCGTTATACCGGTGCTGTTATTTCTGTCATGCTGTATGTTGTAACGGGGCAGCCAGTGTCTGCTTTTGCTCCGTCAGAATTAACACAATCGTGCCCACTATAAAACCTGTCACAAAGATAAAAGGTGGCCTGTCAATCTGCAACAAGAGCAAATTTTGACATCACGTACACTGAATGTTGCGATTTGAATGGCTTGATTTGTTATTTTTCCACAAAAGGATACAAAAATCTGAACTGTTATTAATTGGACATTAGAAATGACTTTACCGAAATCTGAAGACAGTGAGTTTAAATTGAAGCATTCAGGACAGAAAAATGCAGGTAAAAAGAACACAGCATTTATCCATCAGTTAGCAAGAGCACTCCCAGAACCTTCAAAAAAACCTTTTTGGATATTTAGTATTAGGTACCTTTAGCTACTCAAACCAGGCACGCATCTGTACTGAGCAATGCATCAATTAAAAACCACCATCCTTGTTAAAAACTTAATAAGGAGCCCTACAATTTTCAAATGAAACCTGACTTCCAGAGACCTGAGTATGTCATAGGACAGCTTCAGAGCACTGGTGTAACTCGGCAAATGAAAGTTGTAACACTTCTCTATTTCTTGTATCGTGTGCTATTACTCACTTTAGTGTTAGCAACTCTGAAATCTTCTATCCCATTAATTCACTGTGAAAATTTCACTGATTTTTTTGGGGGTGCTGTTCCACTGAAACAGTTCTCTGACCTGGGTAATACACCCCTGACCACGTGGTTCTATTTCCTCTGCGTGGCAGCAAGACATTCACTGGCTTTCCTACGGCGAAACGGCCAGTGAACTCTGTACGTGTTTATGCGCAGACCCCCCGACTGCCTCCTGACCACCCAACAGTTTGCAAATCAGACTGCTGCTCAGTTCTAAGATAATCTTCCCAGATCACTAAGGAATATTTCATGTCTTACAAATCGCCAAGTGCCATTACACTTTCAGAATTTTCTTTCCACTGTCAATCGCAGAACTCATACCTGCGTGCACGCATTCAGAAATACCCTTATTAAGATGATGAAGTCTGAGTATTTGTAAGTTAAAAACACGTTGGAACTCAGACTGTGACATCTTAATTCACTCCCTTAATATGTGATAACACCGGCTTTACTTACAGGATTGCCTATCATATTTACCGAAGATCTACACTGGAATTCTTTTAATCAACATTTATGCGCACTCTTTACCAAAGAAAAATACAACGACCTTGGGTATAAGCAATCACCCTATATTTCAGGGAGTTTAATTCCTCTCCCAACACAGACAAACGTACAGATTGTTCCCTGTTCTGCAGTACATGAAACAGAGCTTCGGCCTTCCAGCAGCAGGGATGCAGCATGGATGGCTGCTGTCGACATCACGCGAGTAGTGACAGCACAGTGAACAAGCACTGCTGCCCTGCCTCTGCATCTTCCTTTTCCCACCCCCCACATTTTCCATTTCCCCTGGGGAGCTGGCAGACCTGTGTATACCCTGACACTTACCGAGCAACGAAGCCTCCCATGCACTGGTAACGGGCAACTATAAGCACTATGTGACCCTAAATACAGCCCGAGACGCAAACATATGACAATGCACAGCAGAGCGCAATTTTTCTGGAAAAATACTTGCTTTTCATGTGGCCCCATGCAATACTTTTTTCTGCTAGCCTAGGACCTCCATCCTCAATGACTCTCTCACTAGTCTCCACATCTTCCCAATTTTACTCTCCTGCTCTATACATGTTGTCCTTCCTTCGCTCCCTGCCCAGCAATTTTCAGACTCTTCCCACAGCCAAACTATCAGTTACCGAGAAGAAAGGTGGCATTTCCTTTCTCATTAGCTATTTGTGAAAGCTGAGTAAGTGACGGTTTTTTACTTCACTGGTCCTTACTTTATGACGTGCAGAGTGGTCTTCCGTAGACGGAGCATCTGGGGGCCTGTAATGGAGCTGCACAAAGCAGTCAGCATAGGATGCTGTCCGGCTCCAAGCATGGTCGGAGAAGAAGGTAGAAATCGTCCAAAATACTGTTGAATAATGCTCCCAAGCAGTTGATTCAAATAGGCACCCTGCGTTTGGGACTGGCAACATATAAAGGACAGACCCTGTAAAAGAAAATTTTTAAAAGCAAGAAATTGAATAATTTTTTAACAATACTTTTGAATAAATTTTTAACAACTGTAGGCTAAATACTCACTACATGCTGGGTAAACTGCTACACACAGAGTAACTACTGCATGACAAATAATCATCAGTAATCTGCTACAGATAATGGTGGTCTACAAATGAAGACAGAGCCAGGGCAAGGCTTGCAAAGGAAAGAAAAATCTTTTATTGACTAATTAATATATTGGAAGATAAGTTTTGGGACAAGCAAGCTCCCCTTCAAAACTGAAATAAAACCTTGGCTTTTCAGACCTGAAAAGTGTTTCTGTGCCCAAGAGCTCCTCCTTTTTTTTAAACTCCGTACATGGTCTAACAAAGGACATTAGTCAGGTAAGATTTATGAAGAGAGAAAGAGAATACCTCATCTGTTTGTAAAGCACCGTGTGAAATTTTTGTACAAACAACATAGGAGAAAAATGAGCACTTAGAATCGTGGTCTGACAAAAAAAAATGTGCTCATAGTGCGAACAAATTAGGGTAAATTAGGCATCATTTATAAGGGATTTAGAGGGGGTTTTAAAATCTGTTTAAGATAAGGCTAAAACTGCTGTGATTTATCCAATATAAGCTATATTGATCCAGAGAAAAATCTATAATGAAAGTACTTGCCCAGAAAGTGCCTATCTGAACACTACCCATAGTTACACAACATCTACATGGTATGTCTCTGAAAAAAGAGTATTCTTCTTACTGGTACAAGCTGCTGTAAGAGAAAGTTAAGAGTTTCCTTCCCCCTCCCCTCCTTTGATAACTGAAAGGAAGAAGAACAAATAACTAAGAAAAAAAATTAAAAAAAAGGTCCAGGGATCTCCTGTCACAAGGGTCACGGCAGTGGCACAGAGACCTCTTGAGCTTTCCCAATAGTTTTGTCATAGAATCATTAGGTTGGAATAGACCTCGAAGATCATCAAGTCCAACCATTGCCCTAACACCCCCACGCCCACAAAACCATATCCCGAAGTGCTACATCGACACGTTTTTTGAACACCTCAGGAACGGTGACTCCACCACTTCCCTGGGCAAACTTTTTTCCAATGTTTGACTACTTGTTTCGGTAAAGAAATTTTTCCTAATGTCTAATCTAAACCTCCCCTGGTGCAA